TATATAGCTTTGACTTTCCTTTTTTTATTTAAATAAAAACGCAAATAAAGGTAAAATGAAAATATTTATATAAATATAAAAAATAAATATTAGATATTAAAAATGTTACGTACTTTTTAATAAAACATATATATCTAAATTTGTTAATATAGTATCTCATAAAAATATCATATAAGTGCAATGAATATATTTATATTTAGATATAAATTACAACTTTTTTATATTTATAAGTAATATAAATTATTTATTTATTATACGTATATTGTAAAAATTATTGATTTATAATGTTATTTCATTATTTTTTTATATTGAATTATATTAAATAACATTATATTAAATAAGAATTAAAAATTTAGAAATATATTTGATAAATTTTATAATATTTAATATTAAATTTTATGTATATTAATATTTCACTTTATGTTTCATATTATTAAAATTAAGTATATTATGTATTTATATCTTATCTAAAATATAAAATAACAATTAATAGCAATTATTAAAATATATTATTTTGTAGACGAAATGATCCATTGCTCATCATATTAAAAATATTGTTTATAAAAAAATATAATGAAAGCACAGCAACGTAAGTATATAATTTTAATATGAAAAAATATATTATAAAATATAAATAATTATATTTTATATATATCTATCAATATAATTTTAATTTTAATTATTCTTTGATATTTTATTTATTTTGAAGGAAGTGATCAGATATTAAAATATGTTAGTTTAATTATACTTACATTACAAAATGCTCTGGTTGGACTTAGTATGCGTTATGCACGTACAAGATCAGGAGATATGTTTCTTTCATCAACTGGTACATTTTTTATAAAAATTAATTTTTCTGTTGTTATTTATTAATTATATAAATTATTATATAATATAATATTTTTTAGCCGTTGTTATGGCAGAAGTTGTTAAATTTTTAACATGTCTAATATTAGTTTTTGTTGAAGAAGGAAATTTTTTAAAATTTTTTGATTCTCTAAAATTAACAATTATAAAACAGCCTATTGATACCTTAAAAGTATCTGTGCCATCACTTTTATATATTATACAAAATAATCTTTTATATGTATCAGCATCTAATTTAGATGCAGCAACTTATCAGGTATGTGCAAAATATCCTATATCCTATATTATTATTATTTTTTTTGTAATGTATTAATATTATGTTTTTGTATATATTATTTCTTAGGTAACATATCAACTTAAAATCTTAACAACAGCATTTTTTGCTGTAGTAATACTACGAAGATCTTTAAGAAACACTCAATGGGGAGCTCTAATATTATTAGTTATAGGAGTAGTATTAGTACAATTAGCACAAAATTCGGACACTACTTTGTCATCTGGCATAGAACAAAACCATTTACTTGGATTTTCAGCTGCCTTAAGTGCATGTTTTTTATCAGGTTTTGCAGGCATATATTTTGAGAAAATATTAAAAGATTCAGATATATCTGTATGGATGAGAAACATTCAATTAAGTTTATTATCTTTACCTTTTGGATTAATTACATGTTTTGTAAATGATGGTGAAATGTTACAGAAACAAGGTTTTTTCTTTGGCTATGATTTATTTATTTGTTATCTAATTGTACTTCAAGCAGGTGGAGGTCTCATTGTTGCAATGGTGGTTAAATATGCAGATAATATACTTAAAGGTTTTGCCACATCCTTAGCTATTATAATTTCTTGTGTAGCTTCAATATATCTTTTTAATTTTAATTTGAGTTTTCAGTTTTCTATAGGTGCCATTTTAGTAATATGTTCAATTTTTATGTATAGTCATCAACCAAAGTCTGCATTTATTGATAAACATTGTCTAACTGATAAAGTTTGATGTAAACTAAATTAAGCTGCCTATAAGATAAACATCATATTATTCAATTCAGTAAATTTATTAATACATTTAATCAATGGTGTAATTTATTATATTATTTTCATATGAAGTGACAATCATGATGTATGATTAAAATATTAATATCTATATCATATCAGTCACTTGATCAGTATTTTTTTATATTTTTTATATAAAAAATTTAAATTAATTTTTTTATAAATTAATAAATAATTTTTTATAATAATATTTAATATTAATTGCAAATAATAAAATAATTTAGTAATAAGTGATGTTTTCAAAAAAGTAATACAATAACTTGTTAATAGATCATGGATTAAAAATATTTTAAATATATAACTAAATAATTGTAAAACTGATAAAAACAAAGTAAGCACATTTTTATATTAAATTAACAAATTACTTATTATATATGTAAAATTATTCTTTTAT